TGTTTGGCACAGTGCCTGGTACGTAGTAGTTTCTCAATAAAATATTTGCTGGATGAATGCATGAAGTGGCTAGACTCTAGGAGACCTGCTTCTCCAGTTTCTGGGAAGGTTACATTAAACCTTGCCAAGAATACCTAGTCAGTAAGTCTGTCTCTCTAGGAGGGGTGTGGAACACAGGGGACAAGGTCTGGACACTTCTCTGCCCTCCTGGCCTCTGAGATCCCCCGAGTCATGGATCAGGTTTAAGCTCATCATGCACCAGACAGGAGCATTCCCCATGGCCTAGATTTGCTGCCCTGAAGTGTGAGACAGTGAGACACTGCTTGGGTGTCCTGGGTACTGGGGAGGCTTGGCCTTATTTAGCCACTGACCTACAGAAACCTATCTGCAGGGGACACCTTCTGTGGGCGTGAACCGTTCCTGATGTTGGTGAGAATGGAGCTCCATGCCTGTGGTTTCTGCACAGGTTTGAGTCCATCAGCGATCATGTCCTGTGAAAGTGCCTCCTGAGCATTGACGTGGCTCGCATACCTGCCGAGACCATACCTGCCCCAGATGGCTGGCCTCTGATGGAGCTGTGTCCGGCCAGGCAGAGCTGAGAGGCCGCCAGGCTGCATTTGTGAAGACAGATCCTCTGAACCTTCCTTCTGTGTTACTCCGTAGGGTTGTGGTTTTGTTTGAAAGCTCCTGTTCATAGGAGAGAAACCTGCGGAGAAAGCCTTTTTTTCTCTCTTGCTCTTCCTCTCTCTCTCTCTTTTTTTTTTTTTCCTTTTGCGATATGTTTACTTTCACTGTCGCCTGGGATTTCTTTGCCTTGCTTGAATGTATTGAAAGATTATACCCTTTATTTAAAGAGTTCTTGGGTTACCCCTTTGTAGTTCACTTGATTAGATTGGATGTGAAATGCTCTTGTGTTATAATTTTAATTTAATTATAAACGTAATATGTGCTCATTTGAGAAAATTTAGGAAGTACAGAAGAAAAACAATCATTCATTAATCTACGACCCAGAGGCAATGGGTACTTTTTTTCTGTATATTATAGTATATATATATTAAAAAAAATTTGAGATCACATCCTGGATTTTGTACCTTGTTTGATAGATAATATGTATTTTAGACAAATACATCATTATGGTCATTATGGTGACTAATTATTAAGTTTAAAGACAGAAAATTTAACCACAAACTTTTAAATTTATAGAGTTGCATATACCTCTCACCTTCCATCCCCACCCCTTTGCAGGATGTCAGTCTGGTATCATGCCTTTTTTTTTCCCCCCCCCGCATGTATTTCATTTTAAAGAATCTTTTTGCTGATACATGAAATGAATTTGGAGTTATACCAGTTCATAGGGACTGTTCTTTTATATCTGACATCTTTATCCTTTGAAAAGATGTCAAGAAGGTCTCAAATATGACGCTGTTTTAAATCCTGGAAACAGCATTAAATGACTGAAAGATAAGATGTTTCTAGCATGGGGTCTCCCCTTGGTGGTTTAAATGTTTGCATCTCAATGGGGAGTTTCATAGTTGCACAAAGATAAGACAGATACACTTAGGCAGTTTCCTTCCACAGTAATAGCCGCTGTCCAGGAGTCCTCATTTCGTTGCCTCTGAAACAAAAGTGGTGATTGGGCACCAGAAGGAGAGCGGTTGGGGTATTTCTGATGGGTGAGGGGTGGGAGAATCCGCCCTCCAGCAGAGGCTGCTGTTTGTATTTATCTGGGTGAAGAGTCATTTTGCTTAAGACGAGCTCTGTGAGCAACAGCCATTTAAAAACAGGAAATCAAAGGCTTACAAGCACGGGTACCACCCTTTCCCTTCTTAAATCCACCAAAAGGACAAAGCTCTTCTTAATCTGGGGACGGTGAGTGGAAAGACTTTCATGAAAGTCACGGCCGCTTGTAAGGTCAGAGTCTGAGACAAAACAGAAGTTGTTTTACATACTCATTTTCACTTTTTAGTTTTTCTTCTCTTGACTTTTGAGACCCCATCTTTATCACAGGTGAAGAGGGAGGCAGTTCTGCGTCTGAGATCATTGAATAATCTGATCTGTCCATTAAAAATTCCTGGAATTTGTAATTTGATGCATCTCACACCAGATGTGATTGATCAGAAAGTGAGAGTAGAGTTGCCCTTTCTTTCTTTCTTTGTCTCCTCTACTCTGTGTGGGGCATTGCTCTAGGCACTGGGGATACAATGAAACATTATTTTTGCCCTCATGAAACTTACATTCTAGTGGGATAGGCAGGCTTTAAGGAAATGCAGAAGTCACATAGGTGCCACGTCAGATGGTGTGAAGAGAGAAAAAGCAGGGGAGGTGAATGAGGGATGTGAGAGGCCAGGCTTGCAATGTAATACAGAGGTCGTTGCGGGATGTCGCTGACAAGACGACTGGACCACAGAGACGGGGAGGAAGTGAAGGAGCTGGCCACGTGTCCGCCCAGTCCCAGGCAGAATGTTCCAGGCAGAGAGCAGCACAGGTCTGTTCCCTGCGGCAGAACCGTGCCTGACAGGCAGCTCTGAGTGTCTGGAGCAGAGGGAGGAAGGAGCTAAGACTAGGAGGTGGAGAGAGACTGTGTGTGTGGGCCTGGGCCTTGGCCGTGACTGGGGACAGCATGGGAAGCCCTGGGAGAGTTTGGGCCGAGGATTCTTGGGGGAGGGGGCACAACAGGGGTGGACGAGCCGAGGCCTCTTGCGTGCGCTTCTGTGTTTATCTTCAGCAGCCCTTGGGTGCACTTGGGTGAAGTGGTTACCATGTAAACCCCACTTCCCCTCCACTCCCGCCCCCCAAACTAGACCACCCCGTTGTCAATTTTTTAAAGCAGTAATGTACAAATCAGAAAAAAAAAAAAAAGATTTGACAGGAATTTTAACTGAGCTTGTGTTGGGAAATTCTTAAAATGTTCAGGGTGTGATTCACGGCTTTCGTAGTTAAGAACAGCCATCAACAGCCCCTGACTTATGGAAGCACTCAGGAAAAGTAGAGATTGAATGGATTGATGATTTGGGAGCGAAAGACCCAGGTCCTAGTGTGGGCGGGCATTCCCCTCTCTGCCTAACCCTCTGAATTATTATATTTTATCAATTCTAAAACACTCATTTTTTCCCCACGTTTTCCTTTTTATGAAATTTGATGTGCTGTAACTGATAGTATCTTAGTACTGTGCTGACCTTTAACGGAGAGCCTTTTATTTTCTCGGAGGAACATAAAGTGACAGTGTCTTACAGTTGATGGCTTCGGACCCACCTCTGTAAATTGTGAAAGTACTTTTTGTAAACCTTGGTGCACTCCATAACCTCAGTAAGGTGATGAAAAATGGCACTCAGGCTGCAACTGAGAGCCTGGAGGTACCTGATAAGCCCTGATCACCTGCTTCATACAGGCTTTGCCGGCATGCAGGCCTCTGAGTCTTTTCTGCTGTGCTTGGGAAATTTGCACCTATTTTCAGAGCCTCAGGGCTTGCAGTTAGCATCTCTCTCTGGTTAACTGATGAGGTTGGTAAGAGTCAGAATGGGGACGCGGGGGAGTGAGTTATTTCACGTGGAGCTCAAACCTGGAAGTTCACAGAGAAATAGGCATCGTGATGTTTCTTGAGGAAAATGTCACCGATGTGGATTTTTACTTTCTTTCCAGGCCACTGAACTCCCATGGCCTTCGTCATTTCTCTTCTCTAGCCCTTTTAGAAATGGGTGGTAGTTGTTTGTTTACTTGTACATCTCCACATTTTGAGGAACGTCTACCAGGTTCCTCTTTATAGCTTCTAAGGTTGGCCCAGACGTGCTTAGGAAACATTTAAAGTGTAAATAAGTGATTGGCAAAGACGTCTCTTCTGCCCCCTTGCCCACCTCACCAATATGCATACGGCCCAGAGGGAAGAGCCAGGTTGGTTTGCTGTATCCAGATAGCTTCTGGTGCGATCTGTTTTATTTGTCTCCCAAACTTCTTTGCTCCTGGTTTGCTAGGATTCAGTCAGGCTTCGGGGCGGGAACTAGAAAGTGGTCTAGGTATTTTAAGCAGAAAAGTATTTAATGGAGGGAATCTGGTCCTTACCAAATTGTTGGGAAGGCTGGAGACATAGGGCTGTCGGCTGGACCTCCGTGAATGAGTCTCAGCTAATAGTAACAGTATATGTAATAACATATGGGCAAACATATATTGGCATGGCTGCTCAAAAAAACTGACCTACTAAGTGTGCTACCACCTCTGAGACTGTCTCTGGAACTACTGAATCCAAGAACAAACTAACGACACTGAGAACCTGGGATCAGAGATCTCAATTCCAGAATCGGGATGCTTCCCCACTGCAGCCACCTCTCGACACCCGGAAGGCCAGAGAGTGGTCCCTTCCATGCTGTTGCAGAAAAAACCCTCACACCCCCATCACCGGGAGGGTGGAAACAACCCAAAAGGCAGGAAGGTGGCCTCTTACTCATGGCCCCTTTCTAAATCTGAAGTGAGTGCTTCTATCTGGGGGAGTCAAACTCACATTCAGAACCCTAGCTTCAAGGAAGCCTGGGAAACACAGCTTTTAAATCAGTAGCCTCTGTGGTATAGAAAGACCTTCTGGAAGAGGGTGGAATGGATGGTGAGCCGACATCCAGAGTACTCACCACACCCTATTGGTAAAACGTATGTGAGCAGCCATCCCCCACATGTTTTGTTTATAGCAAGTGTATACATATCACTCCCATTATCTAAATAGGTAGGATAAGGATATTTCTAAGTTTCTAACAATAGTGATCGTAAATCCACATGTTCATCACCATCTGGGAAATTCTGTTATCTAACTCCCAGTCAACTCCAAGTCTCTCATCCTTTTTCTTTGTTTCTCTTTTTTTTTGCGGTACGCGGGCCTCTCACTGTTGTGGTCTCTCCCGTTGCGGAGCACAGGCTCCGGACGCGCAGGCTAGCGGCCATAGCTCACGGGCCCAGCCGCTCCGCACCATGTGGGATCTTCCCGGACCGGGGCACGAACCCACGTCCCCTGCATCGGCAGGTGGACTCTCAGCCACTGCGCCACCAGGGAAGCCCTCTCGTCCTTTTTGCCTTGTGATATGGTATACAAGACTCTGGGAGAGAGAGGAATGCCATTTTCCTGTGTATGTGCGTTATGAGTATTATCTCCAAGCTGTAGTTTCTTTCTTTTCTTTTTTTTTTTTTTAATTTGGCCACGCCGAGCGGCTTGCGGGATCTTAGTTCCTTGATCAGGGATTGAACCTGCGCCCCGGCAGTGAAAGCACCGCGTCCTAACCACTGGACTGCCAGGGAACGCCCTCCAGGCTGTAGTTTCTTGACTGGGATCTCTTTAAGCCTCTATTCCGTTTTATGAGGATTAGTTTAGGTGAAAGTAGATAATATAATCTGTAAATCTACTTATGATTCAGTTGTAAATGGTGATCCATCAAAATATTCTGAGAGCAGTGGGATGACTGAGTTCATTTGTCCTTCTTCCTTCTCCCTCCTCAGGATGCCTGAGTTTCATAAATGGCATGTAACTTGGTATGACAGGTGAGATGGGGGTGTTTGTTTTGATTAATATTTAACATGAATTCATATTTTTAACATTAAATTTCTTTTTCTAGAGTCAATGAAAATGGAAGGCCTGATGTTTCCTTCCCAGGCGCCTTTGTGCTAGATCAAATGTCCCCTGGACTTTGGGACCCCAGGTGCAAACTGGTCTTGAATATAGTTGCTGATTGTCAGACCTGCCACAGTCAAGTTTGGGTAATACAGTGTTCACCCGGAGCTCGTTCTGGCAGTGGTGAGTCCGAGTTCGGCTTTGGGTACATAGTATGGGCAGGAATGATATTTCCAATATCACTGGAGTTCAGGTCCCACTCAGATAGGTATGGATAGAAATAAAGAAACTCGGTAATGTAAGCGTTGAAATCCTGATCAATCTCTGGCTTGAGTGCTTATCTTAAAAGCCTTGTGAAAAAAACCCCACAAAGGCAACGCCAGTGCAGTAGGCTGGTGGATGGGTTTCTGTTAGAAACTGTTAACTTCACAGGATCCCAGAAGAGGGAAAACACAAAGGCCCCTCTAAGGTAGTGTTGTAACACTTTACATTCCTTAACGGTTGACGTATTTTACCTTCAATACTGTTCTTCATGATTGTTCACTATGGTGAAAAAAAGCACAGAATTTGCAGCCCAGGACCAGCGTTCAGGCCCTGGCTATCCACTGTATCCATTCGACATCACTCAAGATATTTTTGTTGAATGCTTGTTAAGAGTTAGGCTCTGTGCTCGGTGCTGGAGATACAGCAGGGACCCGAACAGACATGGTTCATGTTCTCATGGTACCTTCAATGGACGGAGACGTAAACAAATGCATGTTTAAACCGTAGAGTATGTTTGATGGTGACAAGTGCTGCAGAGAAAAAATAAAGCCGGGAAGGAGGATGTGAAATGGAAGCAGTGAGGGGACTGCACTTTTAAATGGAGCAGTCAGGGGAGGCTCCCTGAGAAGGGGGTTTTAAGAATGAAGGAGGGCTTCCCGGGTGGCGCAGTGGTTGAGAGTCCGCCTGCCGCTGCAGGGGACGCGTGTTCGTGCCCCGGGCCGGGAAGATCCCACATGCTGCGGAGCGGCTGGGCCCGTGAGCCATAGCCGCTGAGCTTGCGCGTCCGGAGCCTGTGCTCCGCAACGGGAGAGGCCACAACTGTGAGAGGCCCACGTACCGCAAAAAAAAAAAAAAAAAAAAAAAAAAAAAAGAATGAAGGAGATGAGGGTATAAGGGGGATGAGCTGACAAAGAAATTCAGATATCTATTGGGTATTATTTCCTGGAGGCTGACGTGGGTCAGGTGCTTAACATGTATTATTCCTTACAGGAATCTTACAAGGTTCACCTATTATAATCACCGTTTTACAAGGCGAGGTGGGGAGACTGAGGTCACACAGAGAGGAACTGATGACATGAGAGTTAAACCATGGCTGTCTGACTGTTGCTGTGAAGGTCTAGTAGGGGCTCTCAGTTGGGGGCTCCCCTCTGGCCCCCACATTTGGAAATGTGTCTCACCGTGCTTGTTTGTCCCAAGGATTGAGGACATCAATTTAGTGGGCAGGGCCAAGGGATGCTAGACATCTCGCACAGGGTGGGATCTTTGTGCCCATCAGATAGATAGTCATCCTAACCAAGGGCCAATGATACTCCTCCTGGAGAAATACCTCAAGACCCTACACGCTTCAGCGACATCTGGTGTAGTACCTGGCCACATTCGATGACTTGGGAGGGTGCCTGGCTCATTGTAGGGGCTTAATAATTGATTGAATACGAGTCACAAACGCAAGAGATTTGCTCTCCTCGTTTGCCAAGGGAAGGTAGTAATATTATCTCTCTTCCGCGGTGGTGGTGAGGATTAAATGAGAAATGAGATGTGAAAATACATTGAAAATGGACGCAAAACCAGTGTATGCACGTTGTTAAAATAAATGCACTGTGTTTCCTCATTCTAAGATTTTAATCTTTGTGTTGACAACAACGCTGTTGTGTTTCATTCTGCTGGAATCCTGAGCAAATGTTTTAATGTTTATCCGTTTCGTAGGTGTGACCTACCCTGTGAGGTTTACCAAAAGGGTCCTCCGTCTAGGCTCCTATGATATCATCTTTCTGGAAGCCCTGACCCTCCGTCTGCTGTGCTGTCGCACCTCCCATGCCAAGGCCAAAGCTTAGCTGTGCCTCTGTGTAGTGTTTTGCAAAAGCTGAGTTTATCTGGTGAAAAATCAGCTTGCAGTTCCATGCTGAATGCAAAGGCCATAGCTTCCCCCCCACCCCCAATCATGCACATAAATTACCCCTCAGGTTCCCGTTAGCTTTAAGAAGTGGCACTTGAAAAAATACAACACAGGGCACCCGTCAGTGCCATTTCTGCAGCGGAACTCAGAGGAGGATGAAAGTCGTTTCCGAAGACTAGCTATTGAGGAATGGCAGCCCTTACAGGAGCCGTGGTTGGGTGCATCGCACAGGCCAGGACCGACTGGCCTTGGTCTCCACATTTGAGCCTGTGGTATGCGGACTAGGACTTTCTGAGTTCTTCTTGCACAGGGGCCAGTCACCGCCCCCCCCCGCTTAACTGCAGGCCTGGTGGGGCTTCCTCTGCTGGCTGGCACTCGTAGCAGGGGCAGAGGCCCATTTCTGCCTGTCATCACCAGAGCAGGTACTGAAATTTAGTCGAAAGACTGTAATCCTGATTTGCGTGAGGCCCAGGGTTCTTCAGCCTGAGACACAGGGCCTATCTTATGCTCTTCCGCTCCACCTCTGACCCCTCAGACCGTTCCTGCTGGGCTTAGGGAGGGTGGGCGTCTGTCAGTGCTCCCAGTTCTTTATAAGAACTTTTATCTTTTTTTTTGTGTGTGTGTGGTACGCGGGCCTCTCACTGTTGTGGCCTCTCCCACCGCGGAGCACAGGCTCCGGATGCGCAGGCTCAGTGGCCATGGCTCACGGGCCCAGCCGCTCCGCGGCATGTGGGATCCTCCCGGACCGGGGCACGAACCCGTGTCCCCTGCATCGGCAGGCAGACCCCCAACCACTGAGCCACCAGGGAAGCCCCGAACTTTATCTTTTTAAGCACGTGGCGCTCTGGATGAACTTCCCACCTCATCTAACTGATTTAGACCAGTGGTTCTCAACTGGGGACAGTTTTGCTCCCTTCTCCTCCCCAGTGCAGGGACATTCGGCAGTGTCTGGAGACAATTTGGTTGTCACAGCTGGGGAGGTGGGTCCTACTGGCATCTAGTGGGTAGAGGCCAGGGATGCTGCTAAACATCCTATAACACACAGCACAGCCTCCCACAAGGAATACTCCAGCCCAGAATATCAGTAGTTGGGAAATCCTTATTTAGATTCCATATGTTGCGATGCTTTACTAAAAATAACACTAATGAGATGATCACTTAGTGATACTATGTATCAGACAGTATGCCAACTGCTGTACTTGGATAATCACATTTACTCTTCACCACAACCTGGTGAGGTGGGCGTTTACCAATCCCATTGTACAGATGAGGAAACTGAGGCTTTGAGAGGTTAAGAAGCTTGCCTGAGGTCATAGAGCTGGAAAGTTGGGACAAGATCCTGGCTTAGGTCTAACTGACACTGGAGACTATTCTCTTCACCTCACCAGTGTATCTCATCTACATGTTCTTGGTTTTAGGTAATTAGGTCAAGAAGTAATTATTTTATAAGGGCCTTAAGCACAGCTGTAGATTCTCTGTGGGGCATTCAGTGATAGCCCCTTCTCTTCTTACCTACACTCTATTCTGGGTGAGCACATCCCCTGTTGGGGCCAGTGCTATCACCTGTGTTCAGATGACACTCACCTCTCTTCAACTTGGTTGTGTCTTGAGGTAAAATTCCAGTTCATATGTTACCTCCTGTGTGAAACCAACACCCATCTCCTCTTGGCCAGGTAAGCAGATGGGTGTCCTTCCCCTGTGTCCCAGGGTAGTACTTCCTATGTGCACACCTCTGTCATTACGTGCACTGATGTATTGGCCCGTCAAGAGCAGGCCATGTCTTGTGTGCCACAGTGTCCCAGCACCTAGAATAGAGCCTGGTAATAGTAGTTGTCTTACTCTGTTTGGGCTGCTGCAACAAAATCCCACTGACTGGGTGGCTTATAAACAACAGACATTTGACCTCTCATTGTATCTCCACAGGGTGGAAGCGGTGAGGGAGCAGTCTGGGGACTTTTTTTGAAGGGCACTAATCCCATTCATGAGAGCTCTGCCCTCATGACCTAACCACCTCCTAAAGGCCACACCTCCTAATACTATCACCTTGGGCATTAGGTTTTCACAGTATGAATTTTGGGGGGACACAAACATTTAGACCATAGCAGTAGTCACTTAGTGAATATTGATTGAAAGGACGAATACATTGATAGGAATTGGTGGCCAAGAAGAAAATCCTTCATTGGGACGGCAGGTATGGAATTTTCAGCAATTTCACTGCGGATTTGATTTCCACTTTGATTCTACAATGAGCTGCCAGGTAAGAGAGCAAAGAGCACATCACTTAACACCCTGGTTAGATGTAGACACAGCCAAAAAGTGAACAGTTCTCAAAGTTACGGTTATGATAACGCTGTAAGCAGCGTGTGCCGGGATCTGCAGATTCAGCTCGGAGTACCCTGCTAGCGCAGCGCTGCCCCATAGAAGATGCTGGTAGCTGCATATGTCACTCTAAACTTTCTAGTAGTTGCATTAAAAAGGTAAGAAGTAACAGGTGAAATTAATATCTAAGATAGTACTGGGACTTCCCTGGTGGCGCAGTGGTTAGGAATCCGCCCGCCAATGCAGTGGACACTGGATCGATCGCTGGTCTGGGAAGATCCCACGTGCCGCGGAGCAACCAAGCCCGCGCACCATGACTGCTGAGCCTGCGCTCTAGAGCCCATGCTCCGCAGCAAGAGAAGCCGGTGCAATGAGAAGCCACCGCAACGAGAAGCCCACACACCGCAATGAAGAGTAGCCCCTGCTCGCTGCAACTAGAGAGAGCCCGCACACAGCAATGAAGACCCAACGCAACCATAAACAAACAAACAAATAAAGTAGTATCATTTTAAGAGGCAATACATGTTAAAAATTATTGAGATACTTTGCATTTCTTTTTTTGTACCAAGTCTTCAGAAACTCAGTGTATATTTTACATTTACAGCACATCTCAGTTCAGATTCACCACATTTCAAGTGCTCCATACTGAATAGTGTAGCTCTGAAGTGTTGGAGAACTTTCTATGCATTGGATTTAAGTTTTTTTGTTTACTTTTTTCTCTTTTTTTTTTGCCCCTTCCCTCCTTTTTTAAGGGGATGTTTTCCTTCCTGGGTTTAAGCTGTACCCTTTGGGAAGACTATTGATTCTCTTAGGACTCTAGGTGTTAAATAAGAGAAATACGTTGTGGAGTCGCATATGTATAGCTGAAGTAATTTCAGGCCTCTAAGGCATCTTCAAAGTCTTGTTAGCTAATCAGTGGGTTCTAAAGCAGACGTTTGCATGCAGAGACTGGCCCAAGGAAGAATCATCCTATCGAGGTGGACAGAAGCACACATGATTAACTGTCTAATGGGGCCAAATGTGATTGGGGTTACAAAGAGAGAGAGAAACAGCTAAGGAAGGGAGGGGTGATTGATTTAGAGAGGGGTGTTGAGGAAGACTTCACAGGAGAGGTGCTGTTTTTGCACTGGACCCTGAAGGATGAGTGGAGATTTGCTGGGGGGATTTAAGAGGAGAGAACAGACACTTCAGGTGAGGGTACCTGCCAGAACCAGGGTGAGGTGGGAAGGAGAGCCATGTCTGGGGACACAAGAAGCTCCAGGCTGGAGAGGTGGGTCGGCCACCAACCTGGAGGGCTCTGAAGGTTCTGAAATTTGAATTTTATTCTTGGGAACCAGGAGCTATAGAAGGTTTAGGGTCTCCTGTTTTTCAGATGATGAAATTTAAGTTCAATTGAATGAAACTCTTCTTTGAAGAAATGTCTGTTTAGGTCTTCCGCCCGTTTTTCGATTGGTTGTTTGAATGAAGCTCTCTTGTTTCATTAGAAGGGCAGAGGTTTTCAACTCACTTTCTCAAAATGAACTTGGAGCCATTTTGAAAGAGTTTCTATTATTATTATTTAATGGGGGAGGGGTGGAAGAAGATTATTCATGAATGTCTAAAGTGCAAAATAAGTAATAGCTTAAAAGCGCTCTGGGACGGGATTGAAAACTCCACTGTTTGCATTGCTCCTGCCGAAATCAGAGGCCATGGAAGAGGTTACGTTTCAGTCTCAGTTAGTTGCTAATGGTGCCCTCAGTTCACCCTGGGAGGGCCCTGGGAGAAGTGGCAGGAGAAAGGGAAAGTGTGTAAATAGTTGCGGGGCGGAGAATTTCTTGCTTCAGTGTGAGCTCTTGGGTCTGTCTGGGGTCGTCAGGTTGCGGCTGTGGGCTGCCCTGGAGATGAGCAGTGTAGGCTGGACCAAAGTCATACCCTTCCTCCTGGGAACCAAGACCCCAGGCTTTAGGGCCCCGTAGAGACCCGCCCTGTGCGCTGTGTGTGGGGTCTGATCTCTTTGTCTCCCTGAAAGATGCTGCCCTGTGTAATCTTCATATCAAAAGGCTGCCTCTTTTGAGTCCCCACTCCTGGACTGTGGGAGAGAGGATGGGTTAACTGTAGAGCTCTTGCACCACAGAAGAAGCCATCTCTCGCTTTCAGAATCACTTCTGGGGGTCATTGTGCTTGGTAGAAAACTGAGGGCCCCCTTCATTTTCTCTGCTAGCCAGTGGCACTTGACATCCATTGGTAAATATCCTCAGAGCTGGTTTCCTCGTTGCGGTATCTCATCACCTTTGATCTCCTTTTTTTCCCCATAAAATAACAACCCACAGGGAGAACTCTCCCAAATGCTTAATTAAAAAAAAAAAAAAAAAAGAAAGAAAAAGCAAGACAATGTCATTACAGACGTGCAGCCCTTTTTTAATGGGGCATGTGGCTGTGTAAGCTACCGTGGTTTTGGGATTTACACTTGCAGACTTGTAAGGATTTAGGGATTAGGGATTGGAAGGTCTAATTAAGGCAGTACTTATTATTGGGAGTCTATGCCAAAGTACTGGAATGGAGATTATTTTGAAAATGGAAGAGGTAGGTTGTGAATCCTTTAAGAAGAGCCAAGGTTTTACGGTATGTAGGGCTCTCTGTATAATTTTGCTGTTCAAAAATAGAAATACAGGTTTGAAATCAGAAACTGAACAGGCAATTTTTTAGTCACCTGTGATAAAACAGCTTTTATTGGGAGAGTGTGGGCCATCCTATGAAAGACAATTATGTGCTTAAAAATATTAAGTAGTAATGGTGGCCTTGCCCATTTTAGGATAATCCATTTAATTCAGGAGGGGAGTGGTTCAGGGTTCTTTTCTACAGGATTCTGGAAAGAATTCTTTTGAGGCTTGTGCAGACGTTTGTTTCCTGTGTCTGTAAAAGCAAATTGAGTATTCAAAAATAAATATAGGTCCGATAGCAAGTGCCTTCCTGAAAGTGGGATTCAAGCAACGTGAAGGATGTTGTCATTGGAAAGTCACAGCGACATTCCTCCTTTATTTTCATAGGAAATAAAAGAGCCATGAATTCAGAGCACTGAGTTCTCAGCATGTAAGCCTTGGCTGCCATAGCTGAGGGTTTGATT